CGATCGGCTGTTTACACGTATCCGTGCTCAGACCCTTCTGCGAAGGCCTTTTGCTCCGCAAAAGGTTAGCGTTCACGCTAATAGCCGCTAGGCTACATGAGGTAAGGGTCTGATTTATCTGAGACAAGTGTTTGCTGTGATAAGCATTGATGAGTCAGCACCTCTTGTCCCTGGTAATGCCGGCCAGGCCTTGTGCCCCCTGGGCCCCTCCCCCTTTTTGCTCTTTTGCTCTTTTGGTGGCCCCTAATTACCTACTCTTGCCGCAGGGGCCGACCACGTTGGTGATGCTGTTGGATGCCCTTGACCACCCCTGGAACCCCAAGCCTCTCTGCTATCTGCTTGCCTAGCTAGCTACAGCTTTAGCCACCAATGCCCAACAACCCCTCCATCATGCCGCATTCCTGCACTCATTACCCGTACTTCCTCGACCCCACCATCGCCTCAACCCCACCATGACTGGCGAAATTGTTATGGGAAAATACTCGAGCGCTCCTCAATGGATCTGTCTTGCGTAAACATTGCAGTGATGACTGAAGACCCAAGCTGAGTAGGCATGTACCACGAGGTAGTATTTCCTATCCTCTGTTAACTCCCAGATCCAGTTCCGCCTGTAACCTGCCTTGGACAACAGATACATAACATACGTCACAGTGTCGGTCTCAAGTCGCAATCTCAATCACAATCACAAGCTCATAGTCAAGCTTCACTCAAGTTTCCCATTCCTCATTCGAAGCGGGTGCGGAAAAAACACAAAAAACCGGCCATTGATTTGTTCCTTATCAAGCAAGAGATTACCCTTATTTGGGCTATTCGGAGGTCAACATATGTAATATCCCAACCCCTCGCCACGCGGTCTTGCTCAGATTTCTCTGACTTTTGGTAGTGTCCTTCTCTGTTTCTCGCATTGGATATCGCCCGCCCTCTCCCTAGCCGAGAAGCTCTACGCAAATTCCTCGGAGATAAGAGCTCTCAGCAGAGACAGAAGAAAATGACCACCCCGCGCTGCTTCATCGTTCGACATGGCGAAACGGAATGGTCGCTCTCGGGGAAACACACGGGCACCACAGATATACCTTTGACAAAGAACGGAGAGAAGCGAGTGCGTGCCACGGGGAAGGCTCTTGTCGGGGACGATAGGTTGATTGTGCCGAAGCAATTGGTTCACATGTAAGGGGCCTCTCTCTCATACACGCTCTACCACGAACCACTGCACTCTTCCTTTGTCCTTTGTATACCAGAGAAGAATAGGTCAAGACTGACATTGAGAAAATCATCTCAAAACATAGCTATGTCTCCCCCCGCCACCGCGCCCAAAAAACCCTCGAACTCCTCAATCTGGGCTGCCACCAGCCGTACCCTTGGCAAACACCATCCAAGTCCACGACAACAAACGAAGTACCACCACCGCACGAGACCAACGCGGACGTGACGATCGACCCGCGCATCGCCGAGTGGGACTACGGCGACTACGAGGGCATTACGAGTGCTGAAATCCGCGAACTGCGCCGCAAGCAGGGCCTGGGACCCTGGGATATCTGGCGCGACGGCTGTCCCGGTGGCGAGTCGCCCCAGGACATCATGGACCGGGTCGACAGCCTGATCCGCGAGATCCGGGAGCGATATCATTCCAAGGTGATTGGGAAGCCCAAGCAGCCCGGCGTCACGGGCGACGTCCTGGTCGTTGGCCACGGCCACATCCTGCGCGCCTTCGCTGTGCGCTGGATCGGCAGACCGCTCACCGAGACGGCCATGATCATGGAGGCCGGCGGTGTCGGCACCCTGAGCTACGAACATCATAATATCCACGAGCCGGCCATACTGCTCGGCGGAGGCTTTGTGGTCGGTGACGACAAGGACGAGATCGAAAAGGACGAGAAATGTGCAAAGTCATGACCCTCACTAGTGGGAGCTTTTCGGTCCTTTAGTTTTTTCTGGCCGTTTGCGATCGATACATTCTTCAGTCTTCTGTGCAGCAACCGTCATAATACCTCGTTTTAGCCAGCGGAAGAAAAGGGAGCTGCGACATGTCATGTATCACTCTTGAATCTAGAAGGCATGGAGTCAATCCGGGCTAAAATGAACTCGAAGAGTCTATGGCTTTGTTTTTGCCCTGACAATAACAGTTCCCCTTCCCCTTCTTCATTCTCTGCCTCACCTCACGTGTCTCGTCTCTCCAGCTCACTATACCTTACCAACCACCCGACGGCGCTGCTGGATTTGGTCCTTCCATGCCCCATCCCGCGGCCCCGAAGCCTCCCTGATCCTGAACGCTGAGAGGGCTGCACGGCGGCGGAGGTTCTGTAGGCGTTGCTGGCCGCGGACCAGCGCCGCTACTGGCGCTCATGTCGAATTTCGTCTGGCCACCTCCGACGGTGCCGGCGCCCGTGAAAGCAACGGTTGGGGGAGCAGGGGCTGGTGGGCCGGTCATGCCCATGCGCGCCGCTGCTTGCGGGTTGTTGAGGACGTAGTCGAGCAAGTCGCCCGGCGGGGGTCCAGCGGGACCTCCGTTTCCTTGAGCCGAGATCTGGCCCTTTGGACTGATCGCTGAGCTGCGGCGAGAGGTTCCCTGCGCGGTGTTGAAGTTCCCTGCGTGGTGAGACGCAGTGCTGGCCTGCTTTTCTTGTTGCCCGTCCCAGCCGTTCTTGTTCCCTGCGGAGGCGCTGTACCAACCACTATTGTTGTTCCCGCTGCCACCTCCGTTCCCCCAACTCTGGTTGTTGCTGCTGTTATTGGGCTGCGATTGATTGTTTTCTTGCCAGTTCTGAGATCCACCATTATTCCCGCTCGTGTTCTGCTGGCTGTTCCCGGTTTGCCAATCGTTGTTCGAACCATTATTCCAATTGCTGTTATTATTGCTGTTGCTGTTGCCTTGACTGACATTCCCCCCATCATTTTGGTTGTTTGGAGCCGGGGATAGGCCAATCCCAAGGCCCACAACGTTCGACGCATTGCGCATGCGTGGTAAGCTGTACCTGAGAAAACCCACATCTGGAGCGTCGACGGGAACCTGCTCAAAGCTATTCACGGAAGTCGGTGTCACTTTCGGTGGAGGACTGGGTATCGTGCCCCCGAGAGCTCCTTTTGCCCTAATCACCAACTGGATCAACTCTGCCTTATCCAAGTTCTCGAGAGCATTGATGTCCTCGTTTGGACTTGGCTCGGCTGTGATCTCGACCCCGATCTCGTCCTTGAGCTGTTCTTTTGTTCGGTATTTGAAGACGAACCTAGCGTACGGCTCGTCCAGAGAGTCAAGGTAGTAAGGAACACACCTCTTCTTGTTGTACAGGTAGCCTTTCCCTGGCTGCACTTGTTTCGTAACACCAATGGACTGCGCAATGGCTTGAGGGACGTCATACCGGGGTTCTTCCTCGGCTTCTGCAGGGGGTGCATTTTGCGCACTGGCTTTTGAGGTGTAGTATGCCCCGTGAGGACCATACAGAGATCGGCTGTTCAATGGATTTCCATCTGATGCAGGCGTGTTGTTGGAGATCGAGCCATGTTGTGGATTGTTGCTTCCATTGCCTGCTTGAGTATTCCCGCCACCCCCAGTGTTTTGATTCTCGTTCGCCCACCCACCATTGTTATTGCTCTGTTGGTTCCCGGTGTTGTTTTGGGTGGGTTCATTCTGCCAGCTGCTGCCTCCAGCGTTGGTGTTCTCGTTCTCCCAACCTTGACCAGTCCCATTATTGGGTTCGTCTTCCCAGCCTTGACCGGTTCCAGTATTGGCGGAGTTGTCTCCTCCCCAATTCTGCCCAAAGTCGTCACCGTTGGGTTCGTTATTGAAGGTGTTGTTATTGTTCTCGTTTGATCCGGCGTCGCTCAAATTCTGACCAGCCTTGTTACTTACATTGTCGTCTACACCTCCATTTGCCCGCCCATCATCGTTACTCCAGTTATTATTTCCAGAAGTGGCCCAACCGTCATCATTGCTATTCTTTTTTGTATTTTGTAGAGGATCTTCCGCGGGCTTTGTCTGAACCGTGTTGGAGTTGTTGTTCTCGACAATGTTGGCGTTGTCACCTCCCTGTTGCTGAGAGCTGTCCCCATTTGATCCGGCTTGAAATCCACCCGGAGCAACTGTGCTGTCATTTTGGGTGCTTGGGACATTACTGGCATCTATTTTCTGAGACTGGAATAGTGGTGCGTTGTTCAGGGGAGGATAGATCGGCATCGCAGTTGGAAATGGTGGAACCGGCATTGTTGGTGGGCGCACCCAAATTGGAACAGGGTAGTTAATAGGCTGTGGCTGGATGGGAGGCAGATTTGTGGGCTGAATCGGTATCTTAGGGGGAAGAGGAGGAAATGGGATCACCGACGGAGTAGAACCGGGCAAATTCGCTGGAGAAGGACCAAATGTCTGCGGACCATGTGCTTGGTGATGTTCATGACTGACCCCTTGAGTGGGTGGTTGATAGTATGAATGTTGAATAGAGTGACTGGCCATAGGAGTATGTTGCTGGAAGCTGCCGTGAATCTGATTCGGATCGGGATATTGGCTGTAGATTTTTCGATCAGCATTGTACATGTAATGCCCGCCTCCAGGGGGAACAGGATAGTCCGGATGGGAGTTACGGTGTCTGTGGTATTCTGGACGACCATGACTTGGACGAGGTTGGGAGTATGCTGGCCCATCGTCTCGGGTCCAAGTATGATGAGGTTGGTGGTCGTAACCTGCGTTGTAGCTATTCAATGGCGGCCTTGCCCTATCGCCATAGTCGAAATGAACATGTCTCTCTGGTCTGATATGTGGTGGAGGCGAATTTAGTGGGTGTGCATATGCTGATGAGGGGGGCGAGTCGTGATAGTCGTACCTGGATCGCGGCGGCTCTCCGTAATGATGGGGAGCTGCACGATAATCCGGCGAATGCTGTGATCTTTCTTGAGGCCCGTAAGGACCGGTTTCACCACCAGGTCCTCGCCAATGCCATCGAGAATAGCCACCTGACGGGGCATCGCCCGAGTTCCCGGCGAAGGAAGACCATCCGTCGGCGGGTCCATCGAAAAGGCCAAAAAGCCCACCGAAAGCATCCTGTGCCTCAGTTTGGGGTGGTTCGGCATCCGCAACGATCTGCACAGCATCTGTTGTGCCCCCAGAGTCGCCTCCCGAGAGTTGTTCTTCTCTAGCATCCTCATCGTCGTTCATGATACCGCTATGTTCAGCAGAAGAGGTAGTCGAACATTGGCCATCCTCGCGATTATTGCTGGAGCATCGCATAACCAGAACCTCGATCGTTCCAAGCTCGTCAAAGTGGCCTTGATCGACGCCATCAGGGATTTGAGAGACTGGTAGAGGAGGGTCAGCTTCGACGTCGCGGACCTAGTAGAGGGACTCACCAAGATTACAATCATCGAAACGCCACTCGCGACCCATATATGTCCCATCACCCATCGGTTTCTCTTTCTGTCTTACAAGGAAGTCGATATTTGTTCTGTTATCCGGTGCGTCATCCTTTGCAGGCTGCAGGTTGACTCTGTTCCGGTTGCACTGGTAATCTCCGTCAATAAAGACAACCATTGCTAAGCCTTTGTAGATGAACTTCCGCGAAGTGAGTCGAATGTTGAAGGCTTGAGGATGGCCAGGGACGGCAATGTAGGTCTCAACGACACCATCTCCGTAGATTGTCCCATATTCAGGGAATGCGGATCCAGTATCTGCCCATTGTACATGGCAAACAAGGTCTTTCAGGGTGGGCATCGTGGTGGCACTGCGTGATTCGTCATTCGTGTGGTCAGTGAGCCACGCCTTCAGTCAGTCGGCGCTGTCTCCGCGTTCGAAGGACAACAGACCAGAGGGAAATTGTCATCTGGAGCGGTGGTGATGTGGAGGTGTCTACAACAACGTCTGCAAGGCAAGGGAAACTGGACGGGGGAGGACTCGTCTGGACAGAGTGAGGACTAGGTGAGGGTGTCAAAGGAATCTCCTCCAGCCGAGAATTTCAGGCCAGGTCGCCAGTCAGGAAGACATGAGAAAGAGATACACTTAGCATCCAGTGTGACGACGGCTCTTCATGCTCACTCTGTAAATTTCATATGAGAGAACCGTTTCTGCCGCGACCTTGGATGTCGCGATCTGCTCCCGCAGGTTTCGCGCAAATCCTTGTCCGCAGGATAAATGAACCCATGGGTGCGGTCTGCCTGGACTGTGACATTTTACATGTGGATCCCAAAGGTATAGCAACCATGAGTTGGAATCCATGCTTAGAGCAGAATAGATGCTTTGGCCCCTAATCTGAACTCGAGGCTGCAAAGTCCCGAAGTCGCTTAGTGGCGTCTGCTGTTCCGTAAATGCGGGAACGAGCCCTGAACCCGGCGCATGTCTGCGATCCAGATTTCCTGTCAATAACTTGTGTCAACACTACGCCTCTCACGATCCCCGGTTTCCTGTCTCTGTCTCCTCCTCCATATTGGGTCCTGTCAAGATGAGCGCAACAAAGGCGCAATCGCAGAAGATCTTCGAGAAACTGAAAGCCAAACCGGCCAACAAGGTACTCAGTCCCTTAGCCCTGCAAGGAGGCCACATCTACGAATCTACACTTCCACGCCTTCCGTGACCGCTGACATACGTTCGCAGATATGTTTCGACTGTGGCCAGAAAAATCCAACTTGGTCTTCTGTCCCTTTCGGCGTCTATCTATGTCTGGATTGCTCTTCCAACCATAGGAACCTGGGTGTCCACATCTCCTTTGTCAGATCGACGAATTTGGACGGTACCTGCGAGCTTGCCATCCCAACAGAAGAATTATATTGACGTGTAATAGTCTGGCAATGGAGTCAACTGCGTACTATGAAAGTTGGAGGCAATGAGTCTGCCACAAAGTTCTTCCAATCTCACGGTGGGAGTGCGGCACTGGCGAGCAAAGACGCGAAGGTCAAATACACGTCCAATGCTGCGAACAAATACAAGGAAGAACTTAAGCGTAGGGCTGAAAGAGACGCGCAAGAGTACGACACCCTTATTGGAAATTACATCTGTACGCACATGGCCTGACAGATATCAACAGATACCCCGACGAAGTCGTCATCACCGACGACCCCCTCTCCACCCCTGGCGCCGACGGTACCTCTACACCCGCAGGTGAACCAGCAGACGACTTCTTCTCATCCTGGGACAAGCCAACCATCAAGCGGCCTAGCAATCCGCCGTCGCGAAGCGGCACGCCCCCGGTAATCTCACGTACTGCCTCCCCTTTCCTATCGGCCGGAAACGGTACGAATGGCTCGCAAGCACGGCCTAAATCTCCTTCACCTTTGGCTGTCAACTCGACCGATGACCCCGTCAAAGACGCTGAAGCTGCTCTTCCCGCCCCAGCTGCAATACGTACAACTTCTTCTTCCGCAATCCGCAAAGGCCCCAGTGCTGCTGGAGGTGCAGGTGCCAAACGCGCCAATGTCCTTAGTGGGAAGAAGCCGGTACACAAACTCGGTGCAAAGAAGGTTGTGGGCGAGGAAATCGATTTTGAGGCAGCTGAAAAGGCGGCAAAAGCCGAGGCCGAAAGGATAGAGAAACTGGGCTATGATCCTGAAGCAGAGAAGGCAGAGGACCTTGCAAAGGCCAAATCCTCCGGTTTCGGTGCCTCTTCGCCTGCGACGCCCAAGGAGACCCCGACGCCTATCAACACAGCGACTAGGTCGGCGTCCAATCCCAGCCACGCGCGAAGTCCGAGTGAGCTTGAGAGGCTTGGAATGGGGGTCGGTCGTTTGGGCTTCGGGCAGGTCGGACCAAGCAAAGGAGCGGCAAGCTCAAGCGCACCAGCACCAAAGAAACTGGGATTCGGTGCTGTTGGCCCGACTAAGGCCTCTGCAGCAGACGGTAAGGACGTCCTCGAGATTCAAAGCATCCCCTATGTCACCTTCCCTCTTTTTCCGTCTACCTGCACACCTTTGTTATCTCTTGTTCTGCAACTAACAATGTCGCTTGCTCTACAGACGAGGAAGAACAATACGCCCGCAGCAAATTCGGCACCCAAAAGTCGATCTCATCCGACGAGTTCTTTGGCCGCAACAGCTACGATCCCCAGGCGCAAGCTGAGGCGAAATCGCGCCTGCAGGGCTTCGAGGGTGCCACGTCGATCAGCTCGAACGCGTATTTTGGACGTCCCGAGGACGATCCTACTGGTCTCGAAGGTGACGGTGCATACGGAGATATCGAGACGATGGCCAAGGATTTTGTTCGGAAACTGGGCCTGACGGCTGGAGACGACCTAGAGAACCTGATCAACGTGGCCGGTGAAGGTGGGAGGCGGCTGAGAGGCGCGGTGGCCCGGTATCTGAACAGTTGAGCTGGAGCCGGGACTAGGACTGGAGCTTGAGCGAACCTTTTGGATTCGGATTCGGATAAAGAAGTGTGTCACGAGAGGCGGGGGTGGAAGCCAGGCTGTGAATGACGGATAAACGTAAAGGAGAGCCGGATTGTTTGACTGCCTGCCTGCTTACTTTATTGCATGCTTGGTTTCCAATTGCAGGCGGAGCGCAGCCACAGTACGATGTAGTAGCGAAGAAATGCGATGGGGGTTAGGCAATGAAGCACGAGCGTGAGCAACGAGCGTGAGCAACGAGCATGATGAGCATTGAAGATTACCCAAGTTTTCTAGTTTACTGCTAAAAACGATTAGATCTATTAGCACGGGCCATTTCCAATCCAGGTGATTTGAGATAGAATCGGAACAAGACAATGTGTACCGAGTACCGAGTATATATATGAATGACTTTTGGGGTGTATGTGCGTGGGTTTATGAGTTCTCATGTGTACCGTACGAGGTACATATGAAATCTCTGTAGCTATTTAGGTATACTGTAACTTAGGTCGACGGCAAAGTTATCGTCCAACTTGTGCAAAATACCTATGTAATATGTACTCGCTCGCTCGTACTGGAAGGAATCAACCAATCGACCAGTTGAACCACCAATACTCATCCAAGTACTTTAGGAAGTAGGTACGTGCCTGATGAGTAGGTAGCCAACTGACCGAGTAACCGAGCCCCCAATCGTCCATTCATCGACCAGTGAATCAACCACTCATTCAGTCATTGAATCAGTCAGCTAGTGAGGCAGTCAATTGGTGCATGTATCAATTCATCAGTCAACTAATCAATATCAATCACTATCAATCCCACTAAACTTCTTTCCCTTCCTATCTCATCTCATCTCATCGCAACGCATCGCTACGCAGGCTTGGTCGAAAGAGAGCAAGCCAGCCAGCCAGCCAGCCCAGCCATGGTCCTCCTCTATCCGTCCTCTATCTGTCTCCATCCATCTAGACAGTCTAGACCTCCCCCTTAACGTCACCATGCCACTCACACCACTCTACTCTGCAGAGCATCTCTACTCCCAGCAACCCTTCCAGCGTACCGGCCCAGCCATAAAACCAAAAGCATGTATCCGGCCTCAAAAAGTCAATTCAAGAATCTTCAAAACAAGGCACAATCAAAGAGAAAAGAGACTAATCATAGAAAACCCCATTCATTAAAGGATATTTCCTAGGGTACCATTCGAGTCTCGGTGCTTTTTCCGTTAGGGGAGGATTGAGTGTATCGAGTGTAAAGTAATATTCATGCCAATCAATCTCGGAGTAGTAAGTCATCAAAGTCGTGATGAAAGGAGCGGCTGAGTCTTCCAAGAGAACTCAAATGATGCTTTAAAAGAAAGGGGCACCGCCCTCATTGCGTCTTGTCCATTCACATGACGACGCTCTTGCGTTTCTCAGCGCTACTGAGAACCATCAATGGCGTGTTGCGTCTGGCCGGCTCAATCTCGACAATAGATCCTCCAACAGAGTTGCCTTCATCGCTACTCAAGCTCTTAGCACTGATCGCTCCAACGCTGTCAACAGAAGACCGTTCACGAGACTTCTCCTTGATCTCAGACCCAATAACCCCGCTAGCAGCAGCCCGGAGACTACCCAGGCTCGGCTTGCTCGAGAGGCTACTGCTCCCAGCAAGAACAGAGTCATCGGACGACACTGAGAAGTTGAACTCGTTCTCGCTACCAGGTGTTCCTGCCCCGGAGCCGGGTTGACGACCACCATCACTGCGGCGCTCACGCCCTGCACGAACCAAGTCGTGAACAGCTCTACGGCGTTGTCGAGTAGCGAAATTCTTGCTCCCCTCGTGCTTGGAGGTTGGCTTCTCCTCGAGCTCTTGCAGAAGGGGCGGCCCCTTGGGCTGTCTGACAGGATGCTCTCCGGCTCTTCCGTGGCCCGGCCCAAAAGTGGCCGTCATTGGAGTCTGCGGAAACCCGGCTGGTCTAGCGGCCGAGCCTTTGGTCCAGTCGCCAGCAGTCTTGATGTTGGCAGAAGACATGTTCTTCCGGTGACCCCGTCGAAAAGCGTTCGCCGACGGAGGCGGGAGAGGCTCAACCTCTTGCGGCGGAGATGGGGTGGACTTAGGGGGGGTCTTTGAACGAGCCTAAGTCAGAGGGAAAGACGGCTCAGGATACTGGCGCTGGTAGGCTGGCGTAACAGGAGGGGGCGAAACAGAATTGTTCTGACGGACGGGAGAAACCTCTTTCTGCTGGCGCTGTTGCTGCTGCTGCTGATAGGAATTGTCGACCAGATAACTTGACTGCCCGGTCATCGGATTGTAGACAGTAAAGACACCAGGACTACCAGGGACTGGGTGAACCACGGGTTGCAGGCCTTGCTGGAATTGTTGATTGTACAGACCCATGGGAGAGCTGATGGGAGACTGAAACTGCGGCTGGCCCAGGTTGTTCACAAAGCCCGTGTTCAGGTTGAGTCCAGAAAGTTGATGGGCCGCAGCAGTGACATTCAACAGCTGCTGTTGAAGAGCCCGTTGCTGTTGCGCAAGATAATTATTCGTGGCTACCAGTTCATCGTACAGATTCTGATCCATATTCTCCGCTCCGTCAACGAAGTCAAGAGATGGAGGAGCAAGCACATGCTCAGGACGCGAGTAAGGTTGCAGCAAGTTGCTCTGCAAATTGTTCCTGCCTCCCGGAAAGTACGTGCCAGTAGCCGTCTGCGGTACCTGGTTGGCGTACCCCGCAGAGGCGTACCTGCTACCTTCCAGACCTATGCCATGGGTAGCAGGAGGTACCGTTGCAGATTTGGGAGCTGTACGTAGACCAGCCAGAAGGTGGCCCCGACTAGTGCGGGGCGTGGAAACGGTATTCGCCTGTTGAGTTTCGTCGATGGTCGAGATCTTGGAGGGAGGTGCAACGCTGAGACGCTTGATATGGGATCCTTTCCCTCGAGAAGCAAAACCAGGGCCGGAAACGCCAATAGAATTGTTGAAGGGAGACTGGTAAGTCATTTGAGCAACACCGCCAGCGTCGATGCTCATTGTACTCTAGATGAAATATACAAAGGATGTTATACTGTAAGTTTGACGAGACTGAAACTGTGGGTGGACGGGACAAGCCGCAGTGTCCGGTGCCGGATTTCAAAAAGATCGGGAAGAAAATAAGTCCGTGCACTGCGGACGCGAGAACTGAATGTGACCAAGGAGTGTGATTTCCCTTTTGTCTGGTGAATTAAGAAAATTAGGACAAGTCGTGACTAGGTAGAGACGATTTCGTGATGCAGTATGTTCCAAAGGTCGGTAGTACTAGAAAAAGGCGGACAGCGTGACCGGGAAGGAAATGCCTGCCTGTTCCTGTCAGTACGCAGACTCGATCAAGGAGGACGACTAAACTAACCAAATGTTCAGCCAGCTGTTGGCAGAACCCTTTTGAAACCGGGGGTGCAGGTACTAATGTACTGATACTGCGAGTTCAAGGGCCAGATGAGGGATTGTACAAAGCTGTCTTGAATCTTTTGGGAAGACCAGATAAGGGAGATTTAGAACAATGAAGGTGGTTCGGCAATCAGATCGAGGTTTAATAGAGTAGGATATTGCGCGGCAATGATCGAGCGATTGAAAAGCTTGTTGTGTACGTGTATGGACGATTATCAGGTATGTTGCAAGTCACTCTCCACGACTGAGGGAGTTCGAAAGGGCAGTATGGTATATCGGTTAGAGAGAGGGGACAGGATCGAGCGGGTCGGATTTTGGGGACCTGGATGTTGGCGCGTGATGGCGAGGAGGGTTTGAAGAAAGCGATTAGAGCGAAAACGGTCGAGGTTGAAAGGAAAGGCGAGCGATGCGAGACCGAGAGTACTAGGTTGCCACAGTCGATGCCGGAGTCGACAGGGAAGCTGAAGGGAACGGAGGGTAATAAGGTCAGGAAGAGTGAAGAGTGACAGCAAAGGACGGTGAGGAGGGAAAAAGAAGTTCGAGGAAAAACGATGATAGAGGATGTGGATGGATGGGAAAAAGACCCAAGCCTGGAGAAAGACGCAGGGAGGAAGGGGAGCGGGTTTTGGGAAAAGACCAGCAAAGGGAGAGGAGAGGGAGGAGAAGCCGAGCGAAGGGGAAAAAAAGGGCTGTCAGACCAAAGCTCACTTGAGGGAGATCCGCCTTCGATGTCTACGGGAATCTCATGTCAGACGGCGGCCTCTTTTTCCAGGCCATCTGACGTCCCCACTTACTGTCCATCAGGGGATCCGGGCCAGCCAACGGGAACCCGCGGCGAACGGTCAAGGGGGGTTTGTTGGATCCCAGGCGATTGGCGTACGGGGGTTTGTTCGGGTGCCACCAGTGATGTTGGGCTTGGCGGGATATTGGGAACAGGCGCCACCTAGGCCACTCAGGGTTCCAGAGCGCTTGACGCTTGTTGCTTTCTGGTTAAAAGGGGTCACCAGGACTGCTTAGTCTGCGTCCTTCACCTGTGCTGTCACCACCACCCTAGCCGGAGCGAACGAAGAAGCTCTTCTCACCCAAACACCCTCTGCCCTTCACACTCAAACACACACACCCTCTCTCTCTCTGCCCAACAGGCATCATTGTCCATTCTTTTTTTTTCCCTCAAGAGTGGGCGTATTCAAGCATCCCAAACCCAATAGTCCAATCACGCGAGCAAGACGTGTGTGTTAGAAGCTGCTATTAATACGCCCGCCCCTACTGGCGTTCCCAAGTTCATTTGCTGATCTGCTTACCATTGAGTGCCACTAGTGCGTAGCTAGTCCCGAATCCCACGAGGGTTTATAGGCTGAGGCGCTCCCCAAACCACTGTTTCATCCTCCTCCCGAATTGGTCGGCTCGAGTTTCGGGGTGGAGATGCGGGTGGGTTGAACCGCTTCCCAACGCGTATACGGGGGCCCTGTAAGGGACAAACAAGGGGAGCAAACTTGAAAAAAAGAGAAGACAGTAGTAAAAGCCACACCCACGCTGCTGGGTCAGCACTCGTATTGACCTTCAACCGCGCGCAAAGCGTCAATAATGACACACGATCTAGATTGAAAGGAACGATTGGGACTTTTGTGAGCTCATCTACATACGTACCTACAAGTACTTGCACATAGCTGAGTCGGCTATCTCGCCCACACCCATTTTTGACCTCGATCGCGCCTCCGTCTCAAATTTGCCTCGTGGCACGCGAAGCCTAAGCGGAGATTGCTTGTTTATCAAAACCTCCATACCTACAGGTCGTAGCGAGTCCACCTACCAGAGCTGGACGACCGAAAACTGTATCTCCGTCATACTCGTCCTCTACTCGCATGGGACGCGCTACCTCTTCAACAGCTCTTGCCACATGGTATATACCTCCATGCTGCTTCAAAGTAAATATTTGAGGTCCCGTGTTCCGCTTCGGCTATAAGTGAACAAAAAGATTGACAGGAGATGAGGTCTTTTAATTTTGGGCTGCTACAAGTACTTGTACATTTGTACATGAGGATGTCACCGCCGCATTTGTATCGAACTCTTGCCCAAAACCATCTGTCGATTCCAATATTGTACAAAGTCGAGCCTCGCTTTTGAAATGATGATGTACAATACCTTTTTGTCTTTCCGTGGTCTTGTAACTAAAAAATGGACTCGGCCACACACAGCTTTTCTGTCATGTAACACACATTATGTCTCTCCTCCAGCTGTCTAGAAAACTCATTTTTCTGCCCTCCCCGCAGTATTGTCCGTAGCATCGTGCGCCGCCTTGGGCACGATATCTGCTTCGGGATTGTACGTCTCTTCTGTCGCGGCGGAAGATGACAGCTTCGGTTCTTTTGTCACTCCTGATTTTTGTCCCTCTGTGATGTTCTCCCGCTCGAGTGACATGGTTGAAGAGTGAGAAGGGTCGTCACTCACTTTGACCTTGCCCTCTGGCACAGGGGGTTGTTGGCTTTGGAGGTGTTGTAGCTCAGACTGTGACTGCGGCTGCGGTTGCTCATGCGATTCCAATCCCGATTCCACTTTCTTCGTCGTTCGTGCGGGCCTAGGCGCTGGATCAGGCTCCTCGAGCAACCTGCGCTGCTGTGCCCCGGAGGATCCCTCGTGTTGCTTTTTCCTCTCGGCGATCTCGTTGACCAACTCCTGCTTCTCCGCCTCGAGGCTAGCATCCAGCTCTTCATCGTCCTCCAGTTCGCCCTTGTAGATTTCCGGGTATCTCTGGAAACATTGCTGCATATTCTGGAATTTGTCTATGCAGTCCATCCCCTTGGGTTCCTCCTTTGAAAAAACGAAACACGAAAAGGCCTCGCGGAACTCGGGTCCGCAGGGCCCATGCGCCATGCCGCCCAGACACGGGCAGTCCCAGTTGATCTCGCCCGTCTCGGGGTTAAAAGCTCCTTCGCCGGCCGCCTCTTCTTCTAGACCTTCGGCGGTGCCAGGTGTAAATGGCCCGTCGTCGGTAACGACAGTCGTGGACGCATTTTCGGACGATATCGAGTCGATAGCGGAGTGGAGGGCGGCGGCGTTCCCGTCGGTTTCTGGGGTGTGCCGGGACGTGAGAGCTTCCAGGGTCGAATGGTCCCTTCGGTCATCTTCAACGGCATCCAGGTTTGGGTTTAATAGATCTGTAAGGTGCACGCGCCAATCACACAATCAGTATCTCGGACGCTTCCATGTAGAAAAGTTGCAATCTACGGAACGAACGGACGCCTCTCCCCTCGGACAACTATCGAAGCAGTAGTTGACTTACTATGTTGCGGCTGCTCCGCGAAGACCGGGCTCGTGTTATAATAGTAAATGCCCGCAATGGCAATCCCCCATCTCAACGCCGTGCTCTTCCAACTCCGTCGCGCTTTCGCGGGTGATGTACTGGCGAATCGTACTCCATACGTACTTCTGGGCACGGGAGCGAAGGTAACGGAGGATGAGCGAGCTATGGAGCGAAGCGTTGACCGGGCTACCGCGGGTCGAAACATGGCTTTTAAGAGGAGGAGGATGGAGGGGGTTAGGGAGGGAGGGAGTTTATTCTCGTCTTCGGTCTTGCTTCAGAGATACAATAGAGAGTGGACCATGTCAAAAGCCGGAAAGAGAAAAAGAGAGCAGCAACCTTGGGAAATAGAAAACGACAGGACTTGTAAACCAGTTGTGGTTTTGAAAACGGAAAGAAAATGCGGCCCTTTTTTATGATAATTTATGTAGTGATGCAATGGGGCTCCGAATTAATAATAATACTTTTTGGAGCTCAAAGATTTCATTTCCCATGAGAAATTGCGGTTCGGTAACTCGGGGTTCCTCCGTATACGAAGCGAAAAGGTAAGAGATAGTAGGGCGGAGCAAACACGCAACAGACGCTGCGAGGCTCTCCCCTGATATACGCACGTGATCGTCGCTGAGATGTTCGAGTGGATGAGAATAGACAGAACATTGAGAGCTTCAGGAAGCTTTGTACGATTTATTTCAATTTCTCTTGATGTAAATAGTGCCATGAAACCTACCCCCCAAACTCCGAGCGCCGTGTCTGACCCCTCATCTGAAAATCTTGACGGGTCGACCCTTGTATAGATAGATAGCAATGGTATTCACACCTTAAGTCCGTGAACGTTTGCACGATACTCCTTTTCCGCCCTCAATCGCAGGTTGTCTTGAAGATGGAGTGACCAAGGGTCGAGCAGGAACTGTACTTCCGGCTCCTTTTCTGCATTGAAGACACGTACTAGGAAATACACATCTGTTGGAATGCTGGTATCCATCGAATCGGGGATGGTATATGTGCGAGCCTGTTGCAAATGTTAGACTCGAATGTTGATGCTCTCAACCACTCACCATCTTCCACTGGGCATTACTGTAGGAGAACTCAGAGGCCAAGTCACCCTGGGTAGTTTTTACGTCAAGATGATACACAGGTGGACGCTTGATCCATCTCCTGGCCTCTGGATAACACTCTGCGACATAGCGACTGAACGTTCCACTGGTGTCAGCTAACGTGAAGCTGGCATATATCTTGGACTTTCCATCACTGTTTTGTTCCCGGATGAAAGCTTTGTGTCCATTTCTTGTCCTCAGACTGCTCGTCCAGT